GGCGGACACAACATCTTTGTTGGTATGTGGTGCTGAGGATCGAACCCGGGCCGCACGCATGCCAGGCGAGCGCGCTACTGCTTGAGCCACATCCCCAGCCCTAATTATTTCTTTCTTAGAGCATGTCTGTGGTGTTGTTTATAAAAAAAAATTATTGCCATACCTAAAGTCATGTAGGGTTTCTCCCATGGTATCTGTTAGGGTTTTGTAGTTTTCCATTTACATTTAGATCTATGAACCATTTTGAGTTATTTTCATGAAGGTTGTAAGTTCTGTTTCTTGTTCACATTTTTATCCATGGGTGTCTCATTGTACTAGAACCTTTCTTGAAAAGATTATCTGTGCTTCATTGTGTGGTTTTTATTCATTTGTCAAAGCTCAGTTTTTATTTAGGCAGGTGTACTTCAGAGTTCTCTATATTATACTATCTAGATTACTGATCTCTATAATGTCTTGAAATCAGTAGTGTCAATCCTTAAGACAACCTTGTTGCAGTCCTTGGGTATAATATTGTTTATTCCTGGTCTTTTGTCTCATCATATATACTTGAAAATCAGGTTTTTGGTATCAACATAACAACTTACTTGTATTTTGAATAAGATTGTACTCAATCTATAGATCAACTTAGGAAGAACAGATATATTGACAATATTGAGTTTTCTTATCTATGAACATAGTATATCTTTTATATTTATTTAGTTCTTCTTGGCTATTTCAATAGATTTTGTAGTTTTCTTTATATATATGTTCATGCATTTTTTTAGATTTGTAACTAAGTATTTAATTTATGGAAGTGCTAATATAAATGACTGTGTGTTTAATTTCAAATTTCCCTTGTTTGTCCCTGGTGTATAGTGAAATGATTGACTTTTTAATTTTAACCCTATGTCTTGCATTCCTGCTATAAACATTTATTAGTTCCAGGGATTTTCAATACTTGATTTTCTACATAGATGATCATGTCATCAGCAAGTAAAAACAGTTTTATTTTTTCCTCCCCAGTATGTATACCTTTTATTTCCTTTCCTTGACTTATTTTATCAACTAGGATTTTCAGTAGCATATTGTAAAGCAGTAGCATGAGAAGACATTCCTAATCTTAGCAGGAAAGCTTCATGTTTCATACCATTTTAAATGTAATGATAACTGTAGCTTTGTGTTTTTGTTTTTGTTTTATAAATATTCTTTATTAAGTTGAAAATATTTTGCTTTATC